GCGAGAGAGAGCGAGAGAGAGAGAGAGAGAGAGAGAGAGAGAGAGAGAGAGAGAGAGAGAGAGAGAGAGAGTGTTGGTTCTGCCCATAGACTTGGAGTTGAGAGATTTTTACTAAGGGATGGTCACACTGATGTTCTCTGCCTAGCATCCATCAAAATTCCAGACTCCCTGAAGGAAAGCAGTAGTCATCATAAATCACATTGTACAAACAATGTAGACCGAGAAAAGTGACCCAATTCAAGTTAGTAGTAGAGAATTCATTCTGAAAGTCATCAGCTACTGACTGACCCTACAAGCCTTTTGAAAGATGGCAGCTGCCAGGTTAATTCATTTTGAATAAATACAAATCCATTTTTAGAGTAAACATGTTTAACAGGAAATTATGCTCCATTCAACATGTAATTGTAATCTTTGGTACTATGTCTCTTTCTGTGTCAAAATTTTATCTGTCCCATTTATAAGGGGTAAACATAAGGGTTGGAGAGATGGCTTAACCATTGAAAATGCCTACAGCTCTTCCAGGGGACCTGACTTTGGTTCCCAGCATCTACATCTGGTAACTCAAAACCACCTATGTATGACTCCAGCTTCAGGGGATCCACCACCGTCTTCTGGCCTCCTTGACTACCTGCACACAAGTGGTATACACTCACCCAGACATATACATATGCATGTTTTAAAAAAGGTAACCACAAGTTTGAATGGTCTTGGTAGCACAGTTCAAGTGGAATGAGACTGCTTCATAAAATTGTAAGAAACATTTAGTAAACTTGGACGCTTGTGTCAGCAGTGAGGGTAAAGAAACACAGCTCTTCGATATTAGTCTCAGCAGCTTCAGGAATTCCCCTAGACTTTCAGAGACCTTGATTCAGGCCAAACTGAGAATTTGTGACTTGGACACTGAAGTCTTAGCATTAGCCATATATACAAGTTACATCTCAAAAGGCTGCTTAGAAATCTTTTTTCCTTTTTTCTTTTTCATTTGATAAGAGATAACTGAGGTGGCTCTAAAGATGCCTTGAATGGAATTACAGT